AAGAGAGGCACGAGAGCTGCAGGGGCAGCATCAGAGCAGAAGAGAGAGCAGCAGGTAACTCCTCTCATGCCCACGCAGCGATGAGCAGCTCACAAATGATGCCAGATGAGGGGCCCTGCTTTGTTCTCCTGCAAGGGGATAAATCCAGGGATCGGCTCTCCTTCACTCCTGCTCTGCCAACAACCCCTTTCACTCCATGCTGGACCACAGACACAACCTTCTCTGCTGCCACCTCCCTGGGACAGCACGGGCCGAGGAAGGCTGCTGTCCTGCCCTGCATGGAACTGTCTGATGGGTGGAGAAGAAGAAAAACATGCGATGAGGTCTCCTCCAGCACACAGAAAGGCTCTGCAGGAAGATCTGCACAGACAGCAAGAGTCCTGGGTTGTCTTTCTGGCTCTGCAGAATGTGCTGATGCGTGTTGTTACTCAGAAAGGAGGAAGGATGGTTCATCAGAGGAGAGAAGTGTGAGACACTGGGATAACCAAGAGAGAAGACAGGATAAGACAGAGAAGCAGATGCTCCATGCAGAGGTAGCTAGTGGAAGGGGTCAGCTCTGTTCTCCTCCCAGACGGAGGAGAAAGGGTAAAGCTAAAAGTGGGGGCCACACATTCTAGTGTTGGAAAAGGCTCCCCTGGAACAGCGTCGGAGGGAGCGCCTGTGGCAGGAGCAATCCCCGCAGGGAGCAGCGCAGCCAGGCCGGCTGCTCCACGTGCTTGGGGCAGGGGGACAACAGGCAGAGGAGAACTTGGCCAGGCTGCCACTCTCCTCCAGAAGAGTGAGAAACACTGTGGCCAGGAGGAAGCTTGGAGGCTGCCTTACGTGCCAGCCTGAACAGGAGCATTGCTGGGAAGCTGCAGGAGTGCCAGGAGCGGAGCTAGTGGGAGTGTGCGAGCAGCCGTGTCCCACCACCCTCTGCCAGCCCTTCCCTCGGACCTGCAGAGCCTCTGACTCGCCATAAACGGTGTCAGAACAGAGCAGTGTCAAAGAAAACCCCTTTAGTTTTGGGAGGATTTTCAGGAGATGGCCCATGCTGATCTAATTGCCCATTAGTGCCAGCTTAGCGAGCCGGGCTCAGCCAAGGCTCCGACCGGGAGCTGTGCTGGACGGGCACGGCAGACTCCCCTTCTTGGCAGCAGCAAGGTGCTAATTCAACTTGGCCATCTCTCATAATTCATCCTTCAGGCTTCATTCCACTGGATGTAACAAATATTCCCTGCATAGAAAAGAAGCTATTCCCTTGCTTAAAAGAGGGGGAGAAGCAGAATCGGGGTCTCTCTGCTATAAAGACACCCATGTCTGTTAGGATGCAATTCAAAAAACCCACAACCCTAAAACAGGATCCCTCTCAACAGCTTCTCTCCTGAGCCAAACACCTCTGTGGTCCCCAGTCTGTGCAGGGGAGGCACAGGCATGGACATGTTCCTCAGCCAAGGTGGAAAAGCCCCGTCTGCACGTCAGAATGGGACCGCAGCTCCCTTTCCATCTGGTCCTGAAGGGTTGGAGGCTTCCCCCAGAAGGATGGCAGAGAAAGAGCAGCGTTCACAGGAGCACCTTATGCCACTCAGGGAAAAAAATAGGGTCATCAGAGCAGTGTTGGAGACTGAAACCCAACAGATTGAGCCAGCTACTTCATCAAGGGAGGGGAGGGTGACAGCACGTGCTCCTCAGACCCTCACCTGGAGCCAGGGTACAGCTAAACCCCACCTGGCCTTCCCAAAATGGGGGTGAGCCATTTGTGGCTGCAGCTGTGCATTCACAAACACCAAAACTAAGAACACCAAGGCCCAGCTCATGGTTCTGGAGCACCTGCAGTTGCTGGCAGTGGGAGCGGTTCCTCTGCCTGCACCCCTGCCTGCTGAATCCCACATTTCCTGCACCCACATGTCACAATTGCTGCCCACAGACAGCAGTGCCACCAGCAAACCTGGACACACTCTTCCCAGCCTTCCCCACCCTTGTACAGGGAAGGAGATGAATTGACCACCTAAAAATGTCCCCTTCAACCCAGATGTTCTCTCTCGCTGATTTAAAATATCACTAGGTTTCAGAGTTAACACTTAAGACTTCCTCAGCCTTGGACTGGGAATGAACTGGATGGATCCCCTTCAACTTAGAGATTATTTTGTACCAATTTAAAATATTACAGTGCAGTGTTAACAACCAACATCCAGCTGGCACAGGTGGAGATGATCTCTGGGACCCAAGACACAGAAGGCAGCTTGCCTGTGCCAAGCGATGCCACGGACCCACAGTGGAGGTGTGAAGAGGGATCCTCTCCAAGTGAAACCAGGAGCACGAGTAGTTCAGCAAGCACTCACCTCCCGGCAGAAGGTCACGATGTTTTCCCACAGTGTTAACAACCAACATCCAGCTGGCACAGGTGGAGATGATCTCTGGGACCCAAGACACAGAAGGCAGCTTGCCTGTGCCAAGCGATGCCACGGACCCACAGTGGAGGTGTGAAGAGGGATCCTCTCCAAGTGAAACCAGGAGCACGAGTAGTTCAGCAAGCACTCACCTCCCGGCAGAAGGTCACGATGTTTTCCCACAGGGCTTTGGCCTCTCCCTCATCCGTCTGCCGCCTCTTCTCCACGTGCATGCTCTCCCTTCTCTTCAGGGGCTTGAGGCCCTTGCGCTGGGCCACGTACTGCTGCGGGGTATGGCAGGCCACGCAGTGCTTGGCCTTGAGCTCGTTGAGCAAGGTGCAAGCAGGACAAGCCCACTGGCCCGGCCTCTCCTGCCCGGTGGGCAACTGGGACGGGAAGAGACGAGCGACCTTGCGGGCGGACGGGGCTTTGCTGCTGCAGGAGGAGCAGCCGCCCTTGTCAGAAGCCCCGCAGTCGGGGCAGCGGGAGGACGGCTCGCCCGGTGTCCCGTGCTCCTGGAAGCCGTGCAGCTTGGAGGAGCCACAGACTTTACACTTCTGGGCCAGGGTGGGGTTCTTGAGGGTGCACTTGGAACAGGACCAGGTGGTGAAATCAGTGCTGGAGGGGCTTCACGGGTTTAATCTCACCGAGTCCCCCACCAGATTGATGGTGTCACTGCCTTTCTGGGTGTTGCAAGCCTCACATTTGGCAGCCCCGGCAGAGTTAAGCAGGGAGCAGGAGCTGCACTTCCAGTGGGACGGACTGACGTCCATCTCCTCCTCCAGCACGCTCAGCCGCTTGTTGGACAGCAGCTCCTGGAAGCGGGCAGCCGGGGCAGCCCTGGCCTGACCCTGCGGAGAGCCCTTCTGCCCCGCTGAGCTCTGAGCCGCGGGCTGGGAGGCTTCGGGGCCCGGCATCTGCAGCTGGGGGGGCACCTCCCGGCGGCTTCGGGGCACAGGGTTGTTCTGGAGCCCTTGGGAGAAGGGACTGAAGGCTGGTATCTTCTGGGTCTCTTGCTCCATAGCCACTGGGCCCTGGGCAGCCACGGCATCACCATCAGAGATCTCTGCAGAGACTAAAGGCTGGGGGGTAGAGGGGGCCATGTGAAACCCGGCGGGGGTGATGACTTCAGGGACGACCAGTGCCTCTGGTGGGATCTTGGGCAGGGAGAGCTTGCGTGGGCCACCGCAGGCAGAGCAGGAGTTGGCCACAGGCGTGTTGTGCAGTGTGCAGCGCTGGCAAGCCCAGCCGCTCTCCAGCTCTGCTTCGTCAGGGCTCTTCCCCTCCGAGTCCTCGCTGCTGCTTTCTGCCTTGGCAGCCTCCTCCTTGGAGCAAGATACCGTTGATAACGGGCAAGGGGGAGCCGCTGGGCCCTGGCTCTGGGGTGAAGCCACAAACCTCACAGGTTTCCTTGCCCAGAAAGTTCCTGAAGGTGCAGCGGGCACAAGCCCATTTCTGTTCCTCCACACTGAGCCGCAGGATGTGATTGAGGTCGGGTTTCTGGCGGGGGGCTTCGCAGATGGAGCACTGCCGCTGGCCAACGGGGTTCAGAAAGGTGCAGCGGGTGCAGGACCACTCGCGGACGGCAGCCATGGAGCCAGGAGAGTGAGAGTGGCTGGAAGAAAGAAGAAGACAGCACAAGGTCAAAGCCACCCGGTACATGCATCTCCTGGGTTGGCATGGTCAGGACTTTGCCTCCAGGAAGGGGACAACCATCAATCCAGTCATTGCTCTCCAGGCACTTGTTCTTCTGGCACTGACAATTTCTCCAAGTGCACAGCAAAGCTCTGGCTTCCACCCAAAACACTTTGGGAAGGGCACAAGGAACGGCCCTGCAACCCTGCCGACCCCTCTCCCATTGCAGGACTGCGCCCCAGTGAACAAGCACATCACCTCTGCACCCAGCCCCGACCATCTGGTGTGTCTGCAGCTTCTCTGGAACCTCTGGAGGAGGAGACACCCTGCTCTGCCTTCTTGCTGTTCCCAGCATCAATTCTTTCCTCCTTTGATGTCACTCCAGCCCACTTTTGTTTCACTTTCTGTTCCTCTCTCCTCTCCTTTTGGCTCCCCACCGTGAACGCACCACTTACCCGTGCTGGGATAACTGTGATTTCCCCCACCAGACACCACCAAGCAAAGCACAGCAGGTTGTGGTGTATGATGGTGCTTTTACCTGGCTACAGGCTCTGGGGCCAGAAGCTTGGCCTGGCCAGCCTACGAGCAACAGCTCCATGCCAAAGTCGAAGCTGGTCGTGGTGCACCGGTGCCAGGACAGCTCTCCAGCAGGTTCTGAGCTCAGCAGAGATGGACAATGTCCTAGCTCCAGCTCCTGCCCCACTTACCTGGGAAGTGGAGAGGCCACGGAGCCCTGTTGT